TTTTTCACTCGCTTCAATTTCTCAGTCACCTATCGCCCCGGTGAAAAGAACGTAAAGGCAGATGCACTCTCCCGTCAGTTCCAACCTGAGACACCTTCTTCCGAGCCTGAACCCATACTCCCTCCAGCCGTGGTCGTCAGCCCCATCCAATGGAGCCTAGATGACCACATCGCCGACGCCACGCAACTCGAACCTGCTCCGCCGGGAGGTCCAGAGGGACGGGTCTATGTTCCAACCCGTCTACGCCTGTCCCTCATGGACTCAGTACACACCTCTCCGGGCTCTGGACACCCAGGCAGCCAAGCCACTCTCTCGCTCGTCCAACAGCGCTATTGGTGGCCGGGTATGGCCCAGGACGTCTCCCGGTTCGTCAGCGGATGCTCAGTCTGTGCCATGGCCAAGGTTCCCCGTCATCTCCCAGAAGGCAAGCTGGTTCCGCTCCCAATACCCACTCGACCGTGGTCCCACCTCGGAGTGGACTTCGTCACCGACCTGCCCCTGTCTGACAACCACACCTGCATTCTGGTCGTAGTGGACCGCTTCTCCAAGGCGTGCAAGCTAATTCCCCTTCCGGGGTTGCCAACAGCCCTTGAAACAGCTGAAGCACTATTCCAACACATCTTCCGTAACTTTGGGATCCCAGAGGACGTAGTCTCCGATCGAGGACCCCAATTCATCTCTCGAGTGTGGAGGGCATTCTTCAACCTTCTGGGTGTGACCGTCAGCCTCACTTCTGGATACCATCCCCAGTCCAACGGCCAGACTGAGCGGAAGATCCAGGAGATTGGGAGATACCTGCGGTCATACTGCCACGACCACCAGGACTGCTGGAGCCGTTACCTGCCCTGGGCCGAGTATGCACAGAACTCCCTCCGACAAACCACCACCGGACTCACCCCCTTCCAGTGCATACTCGGCTACCAGCCTCCACTATTCCCCTGGTCAGGAGAACCATCTGACGTCCCAGCAGTCCACCACTGGTTCCAGACGAGCGAGAGAGTCTGGGACTCAGCTCATACCCACCTCCAGCGGGCTGTTCGGAGACACCAGAACCAAGCCAACCTTCGCCGTACCGACGCCCCTCACTACCTTCCCGGACAACTGGTCTGGCTCTCCACCCGGGACATCCGTCTCCGACAGCCCTGTCGGAAGCTGAGTCCCAGATATATCGGTCCTTTCCCGATTCAGAGGCAGATCAACCCCGTCACCTACCGGCTGGCACTCCCCGCTCACTACCGCATCGCACCCACCTTCCATGTCTCCTTGCTCAAGCCGTACACTAACCCTCTCACTCCTTCTTCCCCAGGGTCTGGTGCTGCGGAGGTGCCCCCTCCTCCTGCGGACCCCGAAGATGACAACATCTACCGAGTCCATGAAATCCTCGACTCTCGACGACGGGGCGGCCGCTTGGAATATCTCGTGGACTGGGAGGGATTCGGTGCCGAGGAGAGATGCTGGGTCAACCGGGAGGACATTCTGGACCCCTCGTTACTCCAGGACTTCCACACCACCCACCCAGATCGTCCAGCGCCCCGTAGCCGTGGTCGTCCCCGTCGTCGGTCCCGTCCGCCAGCTGGAGCTGGCCGTGGGGGGGGGGGTACTGTCACGGATCCATCAGCGTCAGCACCAGACACCTTCACTCCGCCCACTCGTTCCAGCTCCCCAGCATTCTAATCACTGTCACCTGCCCGCTTCAATCACCGTCCCAATCATCCTCCCTTTATAAACTCACTCCTCACAGTCACTCACCGTCTGGTCTCGTCGACACATCGACTACAGACTCCCGCTACGCTACTGCCTTCTTCTGAAATACTTACCCGCTACTTCAGCCCGTCTGCTTCTCCTTCGCTCCTGGTCCCCGGTCATCCTTCTGGTCATCCGTCTGCTGCCTCCGCTCACCAACTTCCAGCCCTGCTTAAGATAAGAAAACCACTATCAGACTGTTTCCCGCTCCTGAACCGAACTTTATCCATTACTCACTTACCTGCTGTCTATCATACCCACTGTATCAATAAACCTGGTTACACTCATCTATCTGTGTCCTTCTAGTCTGTGACACCTGCCTACCTTTATAGTATGCTCTTAGCCTAAACTCCATCTAGATCTTTGAGATTGGAGAATCAAAGTCTACTCAGTGTTGCAAGAAAAATATAAACATAAGGGCGATGGAGCTTTTTTTCTGAGTTGGTCGCAAGATCAGTCAATTCATTGCCTTAGTTTAAAGCTATGTAAAAAAAAAAAAAAAAAAAAAAAACATTTTAAATGCCATGAATCATTTCTATGTGTATTTGTTTTCTTTTATCTATACGCCCTGATCTACGCACAGCGAAATTCTTTTTTATTCTTCATTTAGGGGTAAAACAAAGTTCAAAATACATGACCAGTTATATACTGTTAGCGAACATCTGACGCCCCAACCCACACTGTTGAGAGCAATGTTTAGATGAATATGTAAATATCTGCTTTCTTCTCAATAACAAAATAAACACACAATAAAATTGAGAATACAGCATAATTTTTTGAAATGCATCTGATCATTGCAACATGTATATGTTTGCACAAGCTCTGCAATTCGGCATTCTGTAACAGTCATGTGACGTTTGTTTGAATGCTTATAAACATATTAATGGCACAGGTGAAATTACACTGTTTAGCACAAACAGGGCTACCATAATATATGAGCAACATGTATGTTCAATATGAATAATGTTTATGCATGGTTATTGAAAAAACTAAAAATGAATGTTTCTGAAATAAGGTCACAAGACACATACTAAATATCTCTCCACAAGACTTGTCGCCTAGAGTTTTTTTTTGCTTCAGCACATTTTTAGTCATACCTGGAAACAAACCCTGTTCGAATTTTGCCATTCTATAGAATTGGTTCAAAGTTAGAGTTGGAAGCATCTTGAAAATAAAAGTCTTTTTCATGTTTCAGTTTGATCATGTGATGTTGCAGTTGCAATCTATATAATCCTCTGAAGAAATAGGAAGTCACTGCTGTAATCCAATATCACCCTATCACACTCTCAATCTTAACATCTGTCCTCAGCCTTAAGAGCAAAGTAGATAGACATCCTAAAACAGATAACAAAAAACGGATAACAAAAAAAACAGATAACAAAAAAAATGTCACATCCTGATAAGCTGCCGCTAAATGTTACTAAGAAAAGCAGGAGAAGCCACTGTATATAAAAATGTTCCATATATAATAAGTAACTTAAGAGTGCACAAAACACAATAAACGCATTATCTTTTTTTCGGAGGCAGATTGCAGTCGTGTGAGACAGTTCTGGAAGTTAATTATACCGAACCACAGACGGCAAAATTCCAAAACAGCATTTCAGATGCTGTGCAGAAAGATCAGTCTGCTAGTTGGTACAGTTTTGTTGTCCCTTCATGTAAAGACATTTTTTATGTGCATCAAGTAATTTATTCAGAAATGTGTTTCCATCGTAGTTTATGCACATTTTTTCTTATCAGCTAAATAATGTATCTGAATCAAATGAGCATAAATTTTAATGCGCATTTTTAGAATTTATTCGCAGTCCATCAATCTGAGTTGTACAGAAAGGGTATCATCACAACTTTTCCCACAGGGATGAGAAATTCATCAATCTGGAGGAAGGTTTTATGAGACCAAAACATTGTAGTCCTCAAGACTAAGTTGGCAGAACTAATGCACAAGGCAAAAGAGGGTTACAACTTTTTATTTTTCCCCCCCAAAAAATAAAAAGATTTTCCCCAAAACATAGTGCTAAATTATAGCTCAATGTTTGAAAGGACTCTGTTAAAGGGGACATTTTTTCTTCTGAAGAGCAGTTTTGTGACATAGTTTTTTTTACTTGACCATGCTCTCTTGTTTTAATACAAGTCTGTTTGTGTGCATGTATACAGTATATGCTTTATTTTCTTATTATTTTATATACACTTCCTTCCAGTCTAAACAAAGACTGGAAGGTCTAAACAATCTAAAACAAACACCAACCTTCACTGACTCAGAGTTTGATCAAAGCTGAAAGAAGAATTCAAATAAAGTTAGATAAAGAGATAAAGAGAATGAAAAATACGTGTTTGTAGAGCCACATTTGCAATAACCCAAATAACGGAGCACTTTAGATTCTCAGGCCTCCCTCCTCAAAACACTGAGGGACAATTTGACATATTTCATAACCCTTTTGTGATTAAATTTATTGTTTGTTTTTCTGTTTGAATGTATTCACTATGTACTGTACTGTAGCTTCCTCTACTGAGCTGTTTGCCTCAGTGTCTTTGACACATGTAATTCTGGTAATTAAAATCCAGATATTTGGCTTTAACCCCTTAACTGGCACCCCCCTTTTTGGCAATGGAGTGCAAACTGACATACCCATAATAAAATGGTTGTTGCTAATGAGTCCTTGTGACCACACACAAAACCAAGGTATCATTTAAAAGCTGACACTTGACAATTTATTATGAAAGACTTAAAATTGTTCTGAGCAATTACTAACAGAGAGATAAATAAGCTCAAAAACAATGGACGAGAAATTTTTTTTTGTATATTAATTTTTTATGAAAAAGAAAAACGCTAAAGGCAAATATATATGGGCCTGGAAACACAAGCAAACTAAAGCCATAGGTCTTAACAATGTATGTTTCAAATTTGAAGTTTATACAAGCAAAAATGAATTTTTTACAAAGATTTATTTCAGCGCATGTCTAGGCACCTACCCAAAAAGGCCACTTGGAGTCTCCAAAGGGACACTTGGTAACCACCTTTTACCATGAGCTATAACAAGTTTGTTTGATCATTTCAATGTGTTTTTTTATTACAATATGACAAAGCACAATATATATACTTTCTCTGGTATATTTTTTACCTCCTAAATGTTTATAAAAATGTGTGTGTTTGCATTTTTGGAAAGGGCCCCAAAGTGACACTTGGCAACTTACTTGTAAAAAGTTTAACAAAGTCTTTGTTCACTACCATTCATTTAATGGTTAAGAACGACACATTATTTAGCAAATAAAAAGTTTTTATTTATATATTTGTATACATCTACAAACAAAAGTTTCTCTTTGTTATTAGCAATCAAGACAGTAATAAACATTTCTCAAAAAGTGAGCAGAAAAAGTTGATGTGCACAGGACTGTGACACTCACAAGATCGACGAGGAGGAGGGTCAGGCACCTTGCTTTTTTTGGGATGTCCAGCCAGCTCCAAAATCAGTCTCCCAGAATGCCTTTTGAGACATTGGCTTCTGGTTTTTAGCCTTTGCCAAATCCTGTTGCAGAATATTGGTGCTGAAGTGCCATCACTGTTGAACAACAAACAGGAAAAGAAATTTAGATTTCTTAACATTTTTATAAATACGCATTTATTTTCAAATGACCATTCACATACAGCAATCTACCTCTACACCCACAATTGTTGCCCTGATTGCTATATTTGCACTACCGGCTTTGAATGTAAAATCTGTGAGGATCATTCACATACAGCATTCACCTCCATAGTCACTCTATTGTTGCACTGATGGCACATTTACACTACAGATTTTATATTCAAATTATCATTCACATAGAGCAATTCACCTCTATAGTCACTCTTTTGTTGCCCTGATTGCACATTTACACCAGCTTATAGTGCAGACTGTAATCAGACAACAATGCCCTAAAATACTATTTTTTCCTCACTAAACATTACTTGCTTCACATTATTTACTTACCACAAAGTGCTGGGCTGTCTCTTTCCTCTTGAACTCCCAGAGACAGCTGTAGATGTTGCAGCAACACATGGACACTTTGTTTGTCTGTTGTCCAGAGAGGCCTCTGTCTGGTACTCTCATCATCATCATCATCGTCACTGTTGAATTACACAACATGGATTAGAAACACGCCTAACACAACTGATTATCTTACATATAAATTACATTTTGTTCTCTGAAAAGTTTTGTTTGAACTTGGTCTTGCGTTCTACATACAAAACAATAGCAGCTAGCCTATAGCTAAAGTTACATAAATAATGTTCAATGTTGTAACGTTACACTTCTAATTCAGCGCTTGAATAACAATGGAATTGCACTGCATTTCAATGTACTTATAAGCCCCAATACTAGTGCAGAAAATAAAAACTAAAAAGCAATGTAACAAACTCACTAAAATGTTTAGAAACTTACCGATCTAAAACTGGATCGAGACCTGCCAAAAACATATCCTCTTCTTCAGAGACGGCGCTGGATACAGAACTCTCTTCTGAAAAACACACGTTCTCTTACGAGAGGTTCTCTCGTATTGCGTAAGCTAGCTTACGCTACGGGAAAGATTCATCTTTGCTGAGAAGTTGAAGCCAAAAAATTATTCCATAATTTTGTAATCATTGTCAACGCAGTCTCCTCTGAGGCAGACCATGAGCGGGCTAGCTAGCGGCTCATTGGTTCGCTCAGAGAGAATGCACGAACCTATGGGAGAGCGGCGCTGAGTCCGCGGCCAATGAGCGGACGGCGCTCGCTCACTGCGTCACAGCCCGCCAAAAGGGGCGTGGCTACAGTGTATAAAGGTCGCTCTCCAGCTCGTTCGTTGATTCTTGTTCATTCAGCGAGCTACACGCATCCGCTGTCCTGGGAAGAAGCCGCCGTCGTTGAGAAGGCACCGTCTAGCGAGCTCCGGAGTCTGAGGAAGCCGGCCGTCTGCCACCTTCAGCCGCCCAGCAAGCTAGCGCCATCCGACGCGTATCCTTTTTACTATTCCATATTCCTAAAGAGACCGAGCGTCTTTTTCAAGATGCCTCGAATTCCTGCGGCTCATGCCGCTCTTCACTCGAGGAAGGAGACCGCTTCTGCGTTCTCTGTTTCGGAGTGGAACACGCAGAGCTCGCCAACGGAGGATGCGACCACTGCGAGGACCTGCCTCCGTCTTCCCTGCGGGCTCGACTACAGGCAGTCAGAACCGCTCCCGCGCCGCCTCTCACTTCGCCGCGGAAGAAGAAACGCCGCTCCCAGAGGCCGCCGGAGCCCCCTGCGGATCCATGTGGGCCCGCCGCCGCCGCCCACCGACCGCTCTCCCTCTCCGCCCCTGCCGGACTTACAGTTGCCGCCGTATGGCCGCTCTGTCGCCTCCGACGATACCGCGGATGAGAAGGACTCTTGTTCGCTGCACCCTTCTGACAGCGAGGATTGGTCGTCGATCGGCTCATCGACGAGAGAGTCTGCGGGGACCCGCGCCGGCATCGAGGAGGATCTATCGCGCCTCCCTTCGCAGGCCTTCAACCGCCTGGGTCTCGAGTGGTCTCCTCCCCCCGAGCAACCACCGAACCGGCGCTCGACCCCCGCCTGCAGCCGGGCTGCACCATTCCTGCCTGAGCTTCACTACGAGCTCACTAAATCCTGGAATGCCCCTCTTTCGGCTCGTATCCGCTCCGAGGGGTCCGCTTCGCTCAGTGGACGGAGCCGCCGAGATGGGTTATACTGCCATGCTGCCCGCGCCTTTGCCGCCGCCGAACAGGCCGCCTCAGCGCTGCATTCCATCCAGGCGCTCCAGAGCGACATCTTGTGCGAGATGGCGAACAGCGGTAGGAACCCGCCCATCCTTTCGGATCTGAGAAGCGCGACGGATCTTTCCCTTCGCGCCACTAAAGCCGCCGCACAAGCCCTGGGAAAATGCATGGCCGCCCTCGTTGTCACTGAGAGACACTTGTGGCTCACGCTCACCGATATGGGAGATTCAGAACGCGCCCTGTTCCTCAACGCGCCTATTTCTCCCACCGGGCTCTTCGGATCTGCCGTCACGGGCATCGTTGACCGCTTCTCCGAGGTTCAGAAAGCGACTCAGTCCATGAATCTGTTCTTGCCCCGCCGCTCTAGTTCTTCGACAGGCCGCTCTCACGAGCCTCCTGCCAGAACCCCACAGCAGCGCCCGCCTCAGCAAGCTCAGCAGCCCCAGCGTAGACAGGGCGGCCGCCCTCGCTCTCGCTCAGATAGCCGCCGCAGACAGCCTCCTCCCAGGGGCCTCGACCCAAGATCGCGCTGAAGCCCGATCAACAGAAGTCTGCCTAGCACAGCTGAGAAAAGGACGGCTTCTCCCGCTGCGGCCGGATCGCCGTAAAAGCCTCGCCCACTGTTAGTCCCCGTCTCACCGCTGACTGCAGTAGTGTTTACCGCCACAAACAAGCCGGTTCCCTGCCCGCTTGCGAGCGTCTAAAAGCCGTTTTCACGGCTATCCAGAGAGTTCACAAAAGAGCATAAAAGCCTCAAGTGTAATAAATGTGCCCACAAGCATGTGCTCACATACACACTCAAGCACCTTATGCCCAGGGTCTCTCACAGAGCCCATTCTCACGGAGCGTGCACTTTCCGCTCCAGCAGCAGAGAACATAAGCACGCCCACGAGCCCGTGCGCGTGTCCCCCCTCTGCCCGCTCTGTCACACGGCCCATAAAACTCCTCTCTGAGTGTAAGTCCCGTTGCCACCCACATTATGAGCGTGCCCACACACAGTGTCCAGCCCGCGATGTGCAGCTATCAGGGCAAAATCGCCATTCAACCGCTTACGAAGCGTGGGAAGCCATCCCTGGCATCTCCCCGTGGGTTTAAGCATATAAAAGAATGGTTATCGATTACAGTTTCGTCGCCGCCCGCCACGCTCGCGCGTGCGGCTCGAATCCACTGTCAGCCGCCCGCTATGAACACGCTTCGCTTAGAAATAGCCAAGCTACTGCAGAAGGGCGCTATAGAGAGAGTCCCACCATCTATGACCGAGTCGGGGTTTTACGGCCGTTATTTTCTGGTTCCCAAGAAAGACGGCGGCCTCAGGCCGATCTTAGATCTCAGGGCTTTGAACAAAGCGCTCATGAAGAGACCGTTCAAAATGCTCACAGTCAGGAAACTCCTCGCGCACGTCCGCCAGGGGGACTGGTTCATCTCTCTAGACCTGAAAGACACCTATTTTCAGATCCAGATAAACCCTCATCACAGGCCATTCCTACGTTTCGCCTTCGAGGGCCAAGTTTACCAGTATGCCGTTCTCCCGTTCGGCTATCCTTAGCACCCCGTACGTTCACGAGAGTGCATGGATACAGCGCTCGCCCCCCTGCGAAGTCAGGGGCTGCGCATACTGAATTATCTGGACGACTGGCTGATGCTAGCAGATTCCCAGACGGAGCTGCTGTCGCACCGCACAGTTCTCCTCAACCATCTGGAAGCGCTGGGACTCTCTGTCAACTGGACAAAGAGCTCTCTCCAGCCCAGTCAAACTATTTCGTTCCTTGGAATAGATTTGAACTCTATCACTATGACGGCTCGCTTATCCACACAGCGCGCGCGCCGTGTTCAGCGCCTAGCCGCCTCGTTCAGATGGGTACCCATACATCCCTGAAATCGCTTCAGAGGATGCTGGGTCATATGGCTTCAGCCTCCGCTGTGCTACAGCTGGGTCTTCTGCACATGCGCCCCCTTCAACTCTGGTTATAGAGCCGCGTATCCCACCACGAGTGGACGACGGGCCGCCAGATGATCAGGATTACTCAGACACGTATCACTGCACTGCAGCCATGGGCAGTAAGCGAGTGGTTTCAGAGGGGCGTTACCATGGGAACCTTCTCTCGCCGGAAAGTTATCTCGACAGACGCATCCAACTCGGGTTGGGGAGCGGTTTGCGAGGGCTCACCGGCCGCCGGCCAGTGGTCGAGCCACGAGAGTTCCCTACACATAAACTGTCTGTAGATGATCGCGGTCGAGAACGCGCTGCTATGCTTCCTCCCGCGCATAAACGGTCACCACGTCCTGATTCGCTCCGACAATATGGCCGTGGTATCATACATCAACCGTCAGGGCGGCGTCAGATCCAAGAATCTCTTTCATCTGACACGCCGCATCCTATTGTGGTCCCAGAGTCACCTGCTCTCGCTCAGAGCGACGCACGTGCCGGGCCATCTGAGCGACGGTCCAGACAGCCTGTCCAGGAACCTGGTCTCCCCCGGAGAATGGTCCCTGCACACTCAAACAGTCCAAACACTGTGGCGCCTATTCGGCAGAGCGGAGATAGATCTTTTCGCTTCAGAAGAGAACGCTCACTGCCCAATATTCTTTTCAAAGAGCGAGGACGCGCTAGCCCAGGATTGGCCCCGCCGCCCGCTCTATGCTTTTCCCCCGATTTCTCTGCTACCGCAGGTCATTCAGAGAATCAGGGACTCACGCCACTCGGTGCTCCTCATAGCCCGCGCTGGGAGAATCAGATTGTTCCCGGAGCTAACGCGGCTGTCACAGACAGCCCCGTGGCCCATTCCAATCAGAGCAGATCTCCTCACTCAAGCCCGCGGCTCGATCTGGCATCCCCATCCACAGCGCTGGGCGCTTCATGCATGGGTGACCAACGACTACGCGTCGAATTGCCAGAAGGGGTTTTGAACACGATCAAACACGCCAGAGCGGATTCTACCAGAAAGCTCTATGCTGCAAAATGGTCTGTGTTCTCCAAATGGTGCACCGACAAGAATTTGGACCCACGGACGTGCGAGGTTTCGTCTTTGCTAGTGTTCCTTCAGGAGATGCTGGATAAAGGCAGGTCCCCATCCACTCTTAAGGTTTACGTGGCAGCCGTCGCGGCGTTCGTTGAACCCCGGCGCGCCCAGTCTCTGGGCAAAGACGAGCTAATCATCCGCTTCCTCAGGGAGCCAGAAGGATGAACCCCCTCGCCCCCTACGGTGCCGGTTCTGGGATCTTTTTCTATAGTTCTAGAAGTCTGAGAAGCTCTGAGCCCTGACACATCTTGAGCTCGTTGACCAGTAAAACTACTTGACCTCTGAACTAAAAAACTCGTTCTTTCTGACGGCTCTCGCTTCAGTAAAACGTGTGGGGGACATTCACGCGCTGTCTTCGAGCGCCGCGTGCCTAGAGTTTGGACCGAGTGACTCCATAGTCATTCTAAAGCCTAGACACGGTTATGTTCCAAAAGCGATAGGTACCCCTTTCAGGGCGCAAGTGATCTCTCTATCGGCGCTGCCTGCATCCGATAGCGAACGAGACGCTGACCGCCTCTGCCCGGTTCGGGCGCTATCAGAGTAGCACACTACACGCGTTGCCGCGTTCAGACGCTCGGAGCAGCTGTTGTGTCGTTCGGTGGCGCCGCACCAAGGACTAGCCGCTCGAAACAGACCCTAGCCAGGTGGATAGTAAGACGCGATTGCCTCTGCTTATGCGCTAAAGACCGCCTCGCCCTCTGGGCATCAGGGCTCATTCCACCAGAGGCATGGCCTCGTCGTGGCATGG